CTCCATCATTTGATACGATTCAAATTGGTGGAGTTTTAAGAGTGTGTTTTTCGTCGACGACGTTTCTTGTGAAGTCGACATTTCTGTCCAGAAACTAGGACCAACGATTTTGAGATATTTCGTCCCCTATTCTTCATAGACTCCGTCCTTAATCTCTAACACCCCAAAGCCAGCACCACAAGCAGCAACACGGCCTGTCCCATACTCTCCAGGTCCCGTAGGGGGCGCATCCGCACCTCCGGTCATAGCACCTCTAGTCGCAGCACCCCCAGGGACAGCGTGACTAACACCAGCTCCCCGATGAATTGAACCTCTTGCAGACTCGGGCTCAGGTCCAAATCCAGCACCTCCCGCACCAGAACCTCGTGGAGGCACACTCTCAGCTCCAACTCCAACCCCTCCAGAGGTAGCACCTCCAAGGTCCACGCTATAGACACCAGCACCCTCAGGGTCTGCATTAGCCAAAGGAGGAAGTGTTAACGGCTGCTGCGGTGACTGTGAGGAGGACTGCGGAGAAGGGGACGAGACCTGAGCGGCTACCGGGGGGGTTGTACCTGAAGAGCCGGAGGGGGAGTGGGAGTCAGGAATAAAGGGAGGAGGAGTGAGGGGTGGCTCGCAGCCAACCCTCTACGCAAGGGGCGCAAGTTGGTGCAAGCGAAGGCGGCAGCGACCGCAAGACTCGCAGGAGGCCTAAGATGAGACGCTGACTAGCCATAGCGCGTAGGCGAGGAATGGACGGTTGACCGAGGCGGTGGTGGTACAGAACGGTGGGGTGGGCAAGCGATCGACACAAGCAAAACACAGCAACCGGACCAGACGCTAGAACCCTACCAGACGTAGCTACTTGGTGGGAGGCGGCAACCTGGTGAGACGCGCGGACCTGACGGGGGGCAGTGACAATGGTCGGAGGCAGCTGCCGCTGCTACTGCTGCTGCTGCTGCCTCTCTCGGGGACTAGTGTGAAGTGTGTAGAGACCAGAGCCCAGCTCAGCATGAAACGTGGCCACGGTCGCGTACGTGTCACTGTCTACACAGGTCGCATTGTTCCCAGAAGGCTCAATCCAAACACCCACGTGATCGTCCACGAGCGGCCTCACACCCACCAAGTTTCTGGAGAACGAGGGGACGCGAAAGCCAGTCAGGAAACCCGAGGGAACAGCCGGACACGGAAGCGCAGTTGTGTAGCGAGCAGTGACTGGTCCCGAAGTGGGATCAGCCAGTGCTACAGAGACAGGCGCAGGAAGCGGAGTAAGCCTCGTGTGGTCGCATCGAAGCGTCCAAGGGGACGGCCAGGTGGGACGGCCAAGGGGACGCGGCTCGGCGCTGCGCAGGATAGGACGGGAAGCACGCGGAACGGGACGCGCGCAGGACAGGACGAGACGCGCGTGGGACGGGACGGGACGTGCGCGGGACAGGACTGGACGGAACGTGCGCGGGATGAGACTAGACGGGACGCGCGCGGCTCGGCGCTGCGCGGCAGGCAGGATGGGACGCGCGCGTCGCGGTGGACAGGCGCAACGCACGGACGGGACGGGCGGGGGGGGGGGGGGGGGGGGGGGGGGAACGCGACGCGACGGGGAATGCGGGCCCGACGCGACCAGCAGGCGCAGCGAGCGCTAGGGAACAGTACGAGTGTGACTAACACTAGGGTACAGGACAGGCTCGGGCGGCCACGGGCGTGAGCGGGAGGAACGAAATGTTACAGGATCCGAACCTACTAGGTGATACCATAGTAATTGTGGTTACAAGAACTGAATTGTGGTTTCACTAAGGTTGGTTGGGGTACATAAACCTAACCCTAACTGTTGTACCCCATATGACACACTTCACTAAAGTCTACAATATTTGACATCGAGGGGCAAAAACGTCTTTATGGAGGGTTGAAGGTTGTTGAGACCTAGATCTAACTCTAAAAAGAGTCTATGCCAACTCAAATTGAGATGATTGAGATTTTGAGGTTTGGGTTTTGGCGAGTGTTTTTTATTTCGTCAAATTCGTTTTTTTCGCCAAACCCATAAGGCCCCTCGATGTCTCCCTAGTGGGTGTGTTGGACTTCGGAAGTCCCAAATTGCACCTGCGGTACCTTTCAAAGCTTGAACAGGGCACTTCATCAAGTTTTAAAAACTTGACCCGCGCGGCCCGCAATTTAGGCCGCGGGCTTTAAGGGCTTGCTAAGAGATACCGTAAGATAGTACGGTAATGTGGGAATGCCTCCTTATTGCATAACTCCTTTTTGAATCTTGTCACAAACGATAAATGTGTACATGTAAATCAGAATCATCCATATTGCAAACCCCCCTCCCCCCTCCCCCTCTCCCCTCCCCCTACTAACACCCTCTCTCAAAACAAAGAGAGGCGAACAAACTTTGGAGCCTTTGGGGCATCTAAAAGGGGGATTACGGTACCATGCTTATTAGTACCTTTTTTTTTCATGAACACATCGCTAGCCATGTACTACATGAAAACATAAAATAGAGAAAAAAAAACGTAAAACAACCATTGTACAACAAAGAAAACAACAAACCCTAACAAGAAAATAACAAACCCACAAAAACAAAAAACAAAGACAGCCGTAACACAACAAAGATCTAAAGGCAAACGCAGTAAAGATCCATCCGAGCAGGTTACGTCTCTCGCACAGCATCCACTATAGGGTGACTGAAAAGGAATAGCCACATAGGTCAGCGTATTGACACCATGGCTCCAACTGCAGCTCCAATGGCCTTGGACACACTCGCCAGCGGAGAGGTGCTCACCCATAGGAGGCAGCCACACAAAGCTGCAATAAAAGAGGCACCAAATGGGAAGGATTGGAGATATGTATTGCTATAACACAAATGTCAACAGTTCATTGCAGTAAAGCATCGAAAACAACACACCCATAAAGGCACAAATGTGGCCAAACTTACACTATCATTGTCGCGCAGGGCATCACGGAAGGAGATCCAGGGATTGAGCCTGCAGAGGTCCACCATGGTGGCTCCATGGGATGCCGCCACCTGCTTGAAGTCGACACTGCTGCCGATCTGTATCACATTCTCACATCTCGGCCCGGCCTTGGCTGGGTCGCGCTCCACACAGAGAGCGCGGAACGCAAGGAGGGTTGAGGAGCAGCTAACACCGGGGTTGAACTGCTGTAGGCTTTCCTCGGTGATGTTGAGGAACTGAGCCACGGACGAGCATGTGTCGTCCTGTGGAAGCGGAAGTGAAGGAGAAAACGGTAGAAGGTGGGGTTTGAGAAGGGAAGAGGTGGGAAAAGGGGGTGAAAGTTGGTGCTAGCAACGCTTGGGGCCAAAATGGGACTCAGTGGCACACTGGTCTTCCAGCTGCTTGGGTGAAGGATGGTGAGGCAAAGAGTGAAGAGTGAAGAGGAAGCACAGCATGTGTCAGCACATGGTGGCACTGGTAGCATCCAAAATATCGAATACGTGATTGATTTGGATGCTCCAATAGCAGGAGCACCATGTGAGACTCACTGGCTGGACGTAGTAGAAGGCAGAGCAAGCTGGCAGAAGCTCTTTCACCTCGAGCTCGCTGCCTTGAGGAAGGAGAGCAGAGCAGTCGATACCCTGGAGGGGATGGGGCAGAGGGAGAGGGAGAGGGTGAGGGAGATGGAGACAGTGGAGCAGAGAGGATGAGAGAGGGAGAGGATGAGAGAGAGGTGAGGCGGAGAGAGAGAGAGAGAGAGAGAGAGAGAGAGAGAGAGAGAGAGAGAGAGAGAGAGAGAGAGAGAGAGAGAGAGAGAGAGAGAGAGAGAGAGAGAGAGCAAGAGACAGCGAGACAGCAAGAGACGGTGAGAGAGCAAGAGAGGGTGAGAGAGCAAGAGAGAATGAGAGAACAAGAGAGGGCGAGAGATGTCGCACAGAAACAAGATCGGCTTGACATGCTTAAAGAATGCACACTCTTGCTTGAGAGCAAGTGGCAGGGCTCACCGGGTTCATGGCGATGAACTGCTGCAGCGTGAGGCCATACATGGTGTACACGTCCTTGCACCTCCAGTCGCTGCCTCGGACTGTGATCGACGAAATGGCTTCCCAACCCTGATCTGCACACGCTCCACAGGAAGAGTGATAATGCCACGGATGAGACATGGATCAGCCATGGATGATACGACTTTGCTATTCTCCATCACAGCAGCACATTTGATCCGGGAAACACATGTGTGAAGCGCTCGCAGTATGCACTACTGTGTGAAGCATTGCTAGCAGAGAGCGAGCTTACCACAGGAGCTGCCATAAGAGCGGTGGTTGGGCGGACAGACGCAGGTCCAGTCCTCGGTCTCGCGGTTGATGCATGTGCCCCCCCAACACGGTTGCACTCTGTCATAGCCACACACGCTCGCTGGCGAGGGACACACACAAGGGGCAGAGGACGGCAAACACAAGATTGGCAAAGAGGATACAATTGGGGGATCCGTGGGACAGGAAAGGGAAGAGAAGACGAGGAGCATCGCTGTTGCCAGTGCTTCCTAGGGGCACAAGGATGCCCGCCCAAACATAGCCCCCTCGCATGGGAACCAGATGGGTTTTGGTGAGAATGGATGGTGGCATGGCGAAACAAACAACCGCATTGAGGCTTACAGCTTGAACTCTCTTCGTCGGGGTACTCAGAAGAAGGTGGGTTGTCGCTGGCAGGTGGGGTGTCGCTGGCAGGTGGGGTGTCGCTGGCAGGTGGGGTGTCGCTGGCAGGTGGGGTGTCGCTGGCAGGTGGGGTGTCGCTGGCAGGTGGGGTGTCGCTGGCAGGAGCTGGTGCGTAATGAGCATCCACGCAAAGCTGCAATAAATGATGCACCAGTAGCAATGGAACACACCGGACTTAAGGAGTGGAATAAAAAGAATCTACACTGCATGCATGTAGATGGGGGCATGCCTCAATCCTAGTTTCGAACACATCAGGCACCTGGGAAATGGGGATCCATTCATATTACAGAATGTATCGACTTACAGATAGATTATGTACCCACCAGTAATCCATAACCAGAAATTACTCAGTAGTTTTTTTTCAACTTACACTATCAGTGTCGCCCCGGGAATCGTGGAAGGAGATCCAGGGGTTGAGCCTGCAGATGTCCACCATGGTGACTCCATTGGATGCTGCCACCTGCTTGAAGTCCACCACTTTGCCGATCTCTATCTCGTTCACACATCTCGGTCTGGCCTTGGCTGGGTCGCGCTCCACACAGAGAGCGCGGAACGCAGGGAGGCTAGAGGGGCAGCTAACACCAGTGTTGAGCTGCTGCAGGCTTTCCTCGGTGATGTTGAGAAACTGAGCCACGGACGAGCATGTGTCGTTCTGTGGGAGGGAAAGGAGAGGGGAAGGGGGGTGGAGAAGAAAAGAGGTGGTCAAAGGGGGTGAAAGAAGATGCAGCAACACAGTGGTAGTGGAATGCTGGGAAAGCTGAGGTGCAAAAAGGACCGAGTAGCACAACACATGCTACCGTGGAACGCTAACGTGGTCTACCTGCTGCTTGGGCGAAAGATGGTCAGGCGAAGAGTAAATGGTGACGAGCAACCACAACACATAGTGGCACATGGTGACACATGGTGGCACATCATGGGATGCTCCCACAACAGGAGCACGATGTGAGACTCACTGGCTGGACGTAGTAGAAGGCAGAGCAAGCTGGCAGAAGCTCTTTCACCTCGAGCTCGCTGGCCTGAGGAAGGAGAGCAGAGCAATCGATACCCTGGTGGGGAAGGGGCAGTGAGAGAGGGAGAGGGGGAGAAAGATGAGATGAGAGAGGAAGAGGGTGAGCGACTCTCGGAGGGTGAGGCGGAGGAAAGAGAGGGAATGGATGAGGCGGAGGGGGTACAGAATCAAAATTGGATCGAGATGCTCAATAAAGGCACATAGGCAGGCAGCAAGTGGCTTGGCTCACCGGGTTCATGGCAGTGAAATCTGAGACGTGCCACATGCTGTAGGCGTCTCAAAGCACCTCCAATCGGACCCACGTGGCTCACCGGGTTCATGGCGGTGAACTGCTGCAGCGTGAGGCCATACATGGTGTACACGTCCTTGCACCTCCAGGTGCTGCCTTCCACTGTGATGGACGAAACGCCCTCCCAACTCTGATCTGCCATTGTCCACTAAAACACCACCTTGAGTTTCAATGTGTGAACAAGAGTTTGCAGTATGGACCATTGTATGGAGCGTTGCCAAACAGAGGCAGAGCTTACTGCAGTGGCTGCCAAGAGAGCGGTGGTTGGGCAGACAGACGCAGGTCTTGCCCTCGGTGCCGCGGTCGATGCACGTGCCCCCCAGGCATGGGTTGACTCTGTCGTCGCCACAAAAGCCCACCGGCGAGGGAGAAACGCACGGAGGAGCAGGAGATGGCAAGCACTGAAGTGGCAAGGAGAATTCGATTGGGGGATCAGTGGGGCAAAAAAGGGCAGAGAAGGCGAGGAACCTCGCTGCTGCCAGTAGCCCATTGTGCTTCCCAGGGGCACAAGCTATGCCAGCCCCAACAGAGCACCCTCGCATAGAACCAGACCAGTTTAAGCGCGAATGGATAATGGGATGGCGTACAACAGCATTGGTCTTACTGATTGAACTCTCTTCGCCGGGATACTCAGAAGAAGCTTTGGTGTCACCGGGAGTAGCTGTGGTGGGAGTAGCTGAGGTGGGAGTAGCTGGGGTGGGAGTAGCTGGGGTGGGAGTAGCTGTGGTGGGAGTAGCTGGGGTGGGAGTAGCTGGGGTGGGAGTAGCTGTGGTGGGAGTAGCTTGGGTATCGCTAGAAGGTGGGTTGTAGCTGGGAGGTGTGGTGTCGCTGGAATTAGCTGTAGTGTCAGCTGTAGTGTCAGCTGTAGTGTCAGCTGTCGGGAGGGGTCCGCCAGGGAGACTGGAACTGGCGAACAGCAGCATTGGGGCTTACTGATTGAACTCTCTTCGTCAGGGTACTCAGGAGCAGCTGCGTTCTGGGCGGCACCAATGATGCAGCGGGCGGACCTGATTCCATTGTGGAGAGGACTGGATCTGCACGGGGAGGCACCATGAGAGCAACGTCGCTGGTCAGGTGGGGGGTGAAGGAATGGCGTTTCGAGCACGGTAGCAGACAGTTGGAGAACGAAGGGCTCACCTCTGCTGGCCTTGCGCGAGAGTGTCCAGCACCCTCCCCTTGCACGTGGGACTCGGGAAGAACTGAATCGCCGTGCAATCCGCCTTGCCTTCCTGCTGCCACCACACCTGCAGCATCCTCGTCCCGCCGCCAGGTGGAATGGCGACACAGCGGCTCGGATCATCGAAGGAGAAAGAGGGGCCAATCGACATTTTCGTGCCAACCTCTTGGTCATCCCCGCTGGTGGACGGCTGCGGCCTGCGACGGCTGAAAGAGAGGCTGCTGATCGTCATCTGCGTGCCCACCAGCACTTCCACGCTCGTCGCCATCACAAAAATGTGTGCGTCTGGAAATCATCTGACCATTTTTTTTTTAAGCAAGTTTTCAAAAATCGTTTGACAATCATCCTGGAATCATCTATATATCATTTGTATATCATTTTTGTCAGACCAAATGCTTTGCTGATGTTTTAGTAATGGTCTTGCAATGTTTCAATGAAATGTTTGTCAGATGTTAATTGTTGAAACAATAATAAGGTTGAAAAAAATTATGATTAGTAAGTTAAGTGTGGATCATTATGATACCTCAATTTTGAGACGCAGCAAGGTAATAAAACTAGCTTGAGGAGAGGACAGTAGCTAAATTTCAGAAAAGGTCCGCTCTGGGATTTGAACCCGGGTCTTTCACATCGGAGCCAAATTTCGTAACTGGCTGGACTACAAACACAATTCGGTTTTTTATAATAATTTATATGTCCGAAGTCAACGCGCATTTGCAAAACCCCTATTACACTTTCCCAACCAACCCTAACCAGGCCAGAAATCTCTCCAACCAACCAAATTCGCCTCATTCAATCCAGCTCAGCATACCACTTTGTTCAACCAATCAAAGCCGGCATTGCATCCACCTCAACAAAATCCAGCCCAACCACCACCACTTGTGCCAACTAACCAACCCCATCCACACCACCTCCCTCCACCCTACCTTTTCCGCTTGCACAGAAAAGGTGAAGTGGGCTCTCATTTTGTTGTTCTAGGGTGGCTGTGACTGATTTTAGTTTAGTTCTTCCTTGGCACGTTTTCCAGTCTCGTTATCTCAACCGCCGCCATAGTCTCAACCGTTGTCATTGTCTGAACCGTCGCCGTTGTTTAACTGTCGCGATAGTCTCAACCGTCCCAGTAGCTCGTTATTTTCTGCAATTGCCACGAGTGCGCCTAATTGGCTGTGTGTCTCTCCCCTCGTGCACTCCGTTTACTTCGTGTAGGTGTGTGCTCTGTGGTACTTGCGCTTTCCTCGTTTAAATTCCTCTTGATCAACATGTGCAGGTCGAAGCCCAGGTCGCGCTGTTTTCTGATTAAGGTCACATTAGATCCTTCTCTGTTATCTAACAAATGTTGTTGGCTGTGTCTCTACGGTCATGCAGTCCGTTTACTTAGTGAAGCCTTGTGCTCCGCGGTGCATATCTCTCTCCTCGTTTTAAGTCTTTGTTATCCCCGTGTGCAGGTCGCGCGGTTTCCTTCAAAGAAGCGCTAGTTCCTACTCTTGCGCTAAATGGACTGCTAGCAAATGAAACGCTTTCGTTTTTGTTGGTTTGTTTTGCTGGCAGGCAGTTTCCTATTAATCTCCGGTTTCTTTTTTCTGGTAAACATTCAATTTACATGTCACTGGTTTAAATATCATGGCTAACTCTTATGGTGAACTGCAGGGGTTGCTTGGTGATCTGCAGAAGGTGCTGTCTTCGGCCAAGACCATGCCCAAATCATGTAGATCACCCCCGGCTGTAGGCGAGAGTAGTTCTATCTATTTTTAGCTGCCATTGTGTTATGGTTATATTTTACATAATGTTGGCATTTCTAGTAATGGAAAATCTGAACTCAATCAGACAAGAATCATGAATTGTAGAAATTAATAACGTTTGTGGGAATATCCAATTATAAGCAGTATGAATTCAATATACAAACTCACTAAAGAGTAAAATGCAATGAGATCTAATCTCCAAAATCACTTCGGGAAGACTCTTACTAAACTTCAGTTGAAGGTATTCAAGATGCAGCTTTGAATAGAGAAGCATTGCAGAAGCATTTGAAAAGCATTCGACAAAGCATTTGGAAAGCGCACTATACTTTCTCAAAAAAGCGTTCGAAACACTAAGTTTATAAATCATTCGACAAAGCTCCAAAGCAACTCTTTTCAACGGCTTTCTGGACGCAGGATTTTTTTTTTTTTTTTTCATGAATGAAAGTCACAAACCACCTCATAACAGCTCAAATGCAACACCCATAAAAAGCCCCATAAAAATACTCCATAAAAAAAAAAAAAAAAAAAAAAAAAAACCCAACCAGGATCCCCTACCAGACGTCCCATCTCGCACCCCATTCCCCCTCGCCCCCCCCCCTTCCCCCCCCAAGTCACATCTGCACATCCACGCAGGATTTTTGTGATGGCCTCTGCGAGAATGGGAGCACAAAAGATGCGAGGGACATGTCAATGCGCGGCGGTCAATGTGTGGCGGTCAATGCGCGGTCAGCGCAGTGCGACTTGCGCAGGTGCAAGGATGGCGACGCGAGCATGGGTACATGAGTGCATGACCAGATCATGTGGCGCGTGATGCGGGCGTACCAGCGATGACGGCCATGATGGCGAGTAGCGCAAAAAATGCGGCTTTGCCCTTCCCCGTGCTGCTGCTTCCAGCGGACGCGCCTTCGCCCTTGAGCGGCCGTGCTAGATGGAGCATGTTGTGGCTCGATAGCTGGGAGGGACAGCGGCACGACGACGATCGTCGACTGCCGGACGGCACGAGTGAATGGCTCGGCGGAACAATTACACGGGCGATACCCTAGGTTGGTTCCGGTGCGCACTGTTTAAAAGCGGTAATTTTGAACGCCAATGTGAAACGCGGTCATTGACTGCGTCAAGAACATTGGTATGGACGCGACTCGCATTATTGAAAGGAAAGGTGTTTGATATTTTTCTTATTCAAGCCATAATGAATATATTATGAGTTCTTTATATATATACAGTAGCACAATGTTGTGTTATTTCAGTAGTCATGAAGTACCAGCAAACTGTGCAGGTATCGCACCTCAAAAAACTTTTTTTTTTTTTGGGTGATAGTAGTGGCAGCAACAGTGCTCCTGGCGATGGCAGCAATGGCAGCAATAACATTGCTGGCAGTGGCATCAACGGTAGCAACAACGCTGCAGGTGATTTTCGCTAAAGCTCACACTTGCGCCTCTAACTGAGATGTTGAATCAACTATGATATTAACGCACATCTGTGCGGGGTGATTATGGTACTCACATTTGTGCGGGGTAATAAAGCTTTCGAATGCATAGAACAGGCCCTCCGATTGAATTCAGGGCACACTGATCAACCAGTGCTGGCCCCTATACAATGATCGTCGTGCTGGCTAGATGTCGAGCATTCCAGCTGCTGCCATCCTGCTTCCCACAGTCTGAATTAATTCCTTGCGTGGCCCCACCTGCGAAGTGCAACCGCACCAGACAGAGCACATCACATGGTGTGTATAGTGAAGGGTATGCAACGGTGCAAGCAGGTAGGTTGATGTGATACACTGCCTTTTGTGCGAGAGCAAGTCATGGGATGATGGGATGGCCAGCCGGGAGGAGGACAAATATCCGCTGCACCCAATTCAGCCCATGCCGGTCCATCCACTTCGCCCTGATTATCCCCCATGAGACCATGAGCCCACCATATACACCCACATAAGCACATGAGAATGAGCGCACCTTATCCTCCATGGCCGCACCTTATCCCCCATGACCGCACCTTATCCCCCATGTCCGCACCTTATCCTCCACGACCGCACCTTATCCCCCACGACCGCACCTTATCCCCCATGTCCGCACCTTATCCCCCATGACCGCACCTTATCCACCATGACCGCACCTTATCCCCCACGACCGCACCTTATCCCCCACGACCGCACCTTATCCCCCATGACCGCACCTTATCCCCCATGACCGCACCTTATCCCCCATGTCCGCACCTTATCCCCCATGACCGCACCTTATCCCCCATGACCGCACCTTATCCCCCATGTCAGCACCTTATCCACCATGACCGCACCTTATCCCCCATGACCGCACCTTATCTCCCATGACCGCACCTTATCCCCCATGTCCGCACCTTATCCACCATGACCGCACCTTATCCCCCACAACCGCACCTTATCCCCCATGACCGCACCTTATCCCCCATGACCGCACCTTATCCCCCATGTCCGCACCTTATCCCCCATGTCCGCACCTTATCCCCCATGTCCGCACCTTATCCCCCATGTCCGCACCTTATCCACCATGACCGCACCTTATCCCCCATGACCGCACCTTATCCCCCATGACCGCACCTTATCCCCCATGTCCGCACCTTATCCCCCATGACCGCACCTTATCCCCCACGACCGCACCTTATCCCCCATGTCCGCACCTTATCCCCCATGACCGCACCTTATCCACCATGACCGCACCTTATCCCCCACGACCGCACCTTATCCCCCATGTCCGCACCTTATCCCCCATGACTGCACCTTATCCCCCATGACCGCACCTTATCCCCCACGACCGCACCTTATCCCCCATGTCCGCACCTTATCCACCATGACCGCACCTTATCCCCCATGACCGCACCTTATCCCCCATGACCGCACCTTATCCCCCATGACCGCACCTAATCCCCCATGTCCGCACCTTATCCCCCACGACCGCACCTTATCCCCCACGACCGCACCTTATCCCCCATGACCGCACCTTATCCCCCATGACCACACCTTATCCCCCACGACCGCACCTTATCCCCCACGACCGCACCTTATCCCCCATGACCGCACCTTATCCCCCATGACTGCACCTAATCCCCCATGACCGCACCTTATCCCCCATTTCCGCACCTTATCCCCCATGACCGCACCTTATCCCCCATGTCCGCACCTTATCCCCCATGTCCGCACCTTATCCACCATGACCGCACCTTATCCCCCATGACCGCACCGTATCCCCCACGTCCGCACCATATCCCCCACGACCGCACCTTATCCCCCACGACCGCACCTTATCCCCCACGACCGCACCTTATCCCCCACGACCGCACCTTATCCCCCACGACCGCACCTTATCCCCCACGACCGCACCTTATCCCCCACGACCGCACCTTATCCCCCATGACCGCACCTTATCCCCCATGACCGCACCTTATCCCCCATGTCCGCACCTTATCCCCCATGACCGCACCTTATCCCCCATGTCCGCACCTTATCCCCCATGTCCGCACCTTATCCACCATGACCGCACCTTATCCCCCATGACCGCACCGTATCCCCCACGTCCGCACCTTATCCCCCACGACCGCACCTTATCCCCCACGACCGCACCTTATCCCCCACGACCGCACCTTATCCCCCACGACCGCACCTTATCCCCCACGACCGCACCTTATCCCCCACGACCGCACCTTATCCCCCATGAGCGCACCTTATCCCCCATGACCGCACCTTATCCCCCATGTCCGCACCTTATCCCCCATGTCCGCACCTTATCCACCATGACCGCACCTTATCCCCCATGACCGCACCTTATCTCCCATGACCGCACCTTATCCCCCATGTCCGCACCTTATCCACCATGACCGCACCTTATCCCCCACAACCGCACCTTATCCCCCATGACCGCACCTTATCCCCCATGACCGCACCTTATCCCCCATGTCCGCACCTTATCCCCCATGTCCGCACCTTATCCCCCATGTCCGCACCTTATCCCCCATGTCCGCACCTTATCCACCATGACCGCACCTTATCCCCCATGACCGCACCTTATCCCCCATGACCGCACCTTATCCCCCATGTCCGCACCTTATCCCCCATGACCGCACCTTATCCCCCACGACCGCACCTTATCCCCCATGTCCGCACCTTATCCCCCATGACCGCACCTTATCCACCATGACCGCACCTTATCCCCCACGACCGCACCTTATCCCCCATGTCCGCACCTTATCCCCCATGACTGCACCTTATCCCCCATGACCGCACCTTATCCCCCACGACCGCACCTTATCCCCCATGTCCGCACCTTATCCACCATGACCGCACCTTATCCCCCATGACCGCACCTTATCCCCCATGACCGCACCTTATCCCCCATGACCGCACCTAATCCCCCATGTCCGCACCTTATCCCCCACGACCGCACCTTATCCCCCACGACCGCACCTTATCCCCCATGACCGCACCTTATCCCCCATGACCACACCTTATCCCCCACGACCGCACCTTATCCCCCACGACCGCACCTTATCCCCCATGACCGCACCTTATCCCCCATGACTGCACCTAATCCCCCATGACCGCACCTTATCCCCCATTTCCGCACCTTATCCCCCATGACCGCACCTTATCCCCCATGTCCGCACCTTATCCCCCATGTCCGCACCTTATCCACCATGACCGCACCTTATCCCCCATGACCGCACCGTATCCCCCACGTCCGCACCATATCCCCCACGACCGCACCTTATCCCCCACGACCGCACCTTATCCCCCACGACCGCACCTTATCCCCCACGACCGCACCTTATCCCCCACGACCGCACCTTATCCCCCACGACCGCACCTTATCCCCCACGACCGCACCTTATCCCCCATGACCGCACCTTATCCCCCATGACCGCACCTTATCCCCCATGTCCGCACCTTATCCCCCATGACCGCACCTTATCCCCCATGTCCGCACCTTATCCCCCATGTCCGCACCTTATCCACCATGACCGCACCTTATCCCCCATGACCGCACCGTATCCCCCACGTCCGCACCTTATCCCCCACGACCGCACCTTATCCCCCACGACCGCACCTTATCCCCCACGACCGCACCTTATCCCCCACGACCGCACCTTATCCCCCACGACCGCACCTTATCCCCCACGACCGCACCTTATCCCCCATGAGCGCACCTTATCCCCCATGACCGCACCTTATCCCCCATGTCCGCACCTTATCCCCCATGTCCGCACCTTATCCACCATGACCGCACCTTATCCCCCATGACCGCACCGTATCCCCCACGTCCGCACCTTATCCCCCACGACCGCACCTTATCCCCCACGACCGCACCTTATCCCCCACGACCGCACCTTATCCCCCACGACCGCACCTTATCCCCCACGACCGCACCTTATCCCCCATGAGCGCACCTTATCCCCCATGAGTGCACCTTATCCCCCATGAGCGCACCTTATCCCCCATGAGCGCACCTTATCCCCCATGACCGCACCTTATCCCCCATGACCGCACCTTATCCCCCATGAGCACGGAGAGGGTGACACTGGCCTGCGCCGCCTCCTCCACGGTGATGAGCTTCAGCCGCCGCTGGCTGGGGTCCAGGGTCGTCTCCCACAGCTGCGTTGGCATCATCTCGCCCAGCCCTGAGGGGGTGATGCTCATGGGGTAGCGTGCATGCAGAGAGGAGGAAGAGGGAGGCCAGAGGGTGGACAGAGGGTGGACAGAGGGTGGACAGAGGGTGGACAGAGGGTGGACAATGGGGGGACAGATGGGAGAGAGAAAGAGGCTGTGAAATGAGCTGACAGCTGTCAGGCGGTGCTGGCTGGGGTCCAGGGTCGTCTCCCACAGCTGTGCCGGCATCATCTCGCCCAGCCTGATGAGGTGAGGCACGTGGCAGAGGGCAGAGGGAGGATGTGGAAAGAGATGAGAATTGACAGGCCTTGCTGGGTGGGGTGCAGCGTTGCGTCTCGTTGCTGCCCTGGCAGCTTCTCCCCCAGTTCTGCATGGGATGGAGGGGAGGGTATTGGGCGAGGCAAGAGACGATCCAATCCAGCTGCCGCTGGTTGTAAAGTACTGTGGAGTTGTCACTGTGTGACATCGTTTTCTTTGGACCCGCGGGACAGCGGGGGAGGGGAGAGGCGAGGTTGGCATAATCTACTTTATCTGACGGCATGAAGGGGAGAGCAGAGGTCGCAAAGGGAAGCACAGAGAGGCTCAGGTGGGCCACTCAAAAGCCCTTGATGCAGTGGCGATGGCGGGAGGCACAGCACATGGCATGCAATGGCCCAGTGCCAGGAGGCCATGGAAGGGAAGGGAAGACGCCACAGAGCCTGGTGAAGAATTTATTAATGAGAGCCGTTTAACTGGAGGATTAAAATCCAACGTATTGGTGATGAAGTGGAAATGGCTTTGGACCAGCGATGAGAGGTGCCCAAGTCAATGCACTTTGAACACAGTGGGTGGGCCACACGAATTTCAACAAACATTCCTTGTCAAAAAAATAGACATTCTTAAGGACGCAGCATCTAAAGGGAGACGGCATGCACCTTTGAAGCGCTGGATGGTGGGGGAGGCGGAGGCGGGCAGCGAGCGCAGGTGCGCCTGCAGCTCTGCGTCGCTGTAGCAGTACACTGGCGCCTGGCGCCCCACCTCCACCTGTTCGGGGGTGGGATGCACGTGAGGGAGTGAATATGCCGGTGGGATGTGGGATGACATTTCAGGTGGACCAGCTGTCCCCAGCGCACTGGTGGCAGCAGAGAGAATCCTACTCTGTGCTCACCGGGGCACTTGAAGATGAATAAGATGCTTGTGCTTCTAGTGATGAACGCCAAGTGAGGACTGGGGAAAGGCCCTTACCTTGTAGAGCGGGGGGACGCCGACATAGACATGGCCGTTCTCAAAGAGCGCTCTCTGCACACAGCATACGGTGACCAGGCGATGCCACGTGGGTCGCAGAGAGGGAGGGAGAGGGAGGGAGAGGGAAGAGGGAGGGGGACGGAGGGAGGGGAGAGGAGGGAGACGGAGGGAGGGAGGGAGAGGGAGGGAGGGAGGGAGGGAGGGAGGGAGGGAGGGAGGGAGGGAGGGAGGGAGGGAGGGAGGGAGGGAGGGAGGGAGGGAGGGAGGGAGGGAGGGAGGGAGGGAGGGAGGGAGGGAGGGAGGGAGGGAGGAGGGAGGGAGGCAGCAGGGAGGGAGGCTGGAGGGAGGGAGGGAGGAGGGAGGGGGGGAGGGAGGGAGGAGGGAGGGAGGGAGGGAGGGAGAGGGGGGGGGAGGGAGGAGGGAGGGGAGGGAGGGAGGAGGGAGGGAGGGAGGCAGGGAGGAGGGCGGAGGAGGGAGGAGGGAGGGAGGGAGGGCAGGAGGGAGGGAGGGAGGGAGGGAGGGAGGGAGGGAGGGAGGGAGGGAGGGAGGGAGGGAGGGAGGGAGGGAGGGAGGGAGGGAGGGAGGGAGGGAGGGAGGGAGGGAGGGAGGGAGGGAGGGGAGGGAGGGAGGGAGGGGGAGGAGGGGGAGGGAGGCAGAGAGGGGAGGGAGGCAGGAGGGGAGGGAGGGAGGGGGGAGGGGAGGGAGGGAGGGGAGGGAGGGAGGGAGGGAGGAGGGAGGGAGGGAGGAGGGAGGGAGGTGTGAGAAGAAAAGTTAGAAGAGAAGTTGATGGATTGATTGAAAGGATGGGGGGTTTACATAGGAGATGAGTTGGAAACTAGCCTAGGTGAACATTATTGGACCCCAACCAAGGAGTTGGGTTGGGAGATTATTGGTGGGGTCCAATAATGTTGGCCAAGTTGGAGTTGGGCCAACATTATTGGAGGGGACTAACAATTCTACCCATCCCAACCCTTGGGGTCCAATAATTGGACCAAGGTTGGGTTTCCAACCTACAAATTGGGTAACCCCTGCTTGTACACCCAAACTAAGTTTGGGTGCTTATCTCTAGCCTATCCTATAGCATATATGCAGGTTACAAGAGAGGAGATATTCTAACACAACCCCTTAACCTGCAGAGATGCGGAAAGGCTGGAGAGAAGCAACCCCTGAATCAAGGCGCGCCTGGGGGAGCGAGGCCAATGAGGCGGAGGAGAGCAGAGTGCGCGGGGCGAAGAAGTGCTTTGGTGAAGATATCCGCCAAATTGGCTTCAGTGGCGATCTTGCGGACGGCGATAAGATTCTGTCGGACGAGGTCGCGGATGAAGAAATAACGGAGCTCGATATGCTTGGAGCGACCATGAAAGACTGGATCCTGGGTGAGGTGGATGGTGCTGGCGTTGTCACACCAGAGCGTGGGACAGCGCTGGGGGGCACCAAGCTCTGCCAGAAGAAAGCAGAGCCAGCGGGACTCTTGAGCGGCCATGGTGCCCGCATAGAGCTCAGCTTCGCAGGAAGAGAGAGCGATGGCTGAGGAGCGGGTGGAACGCCAGCTGATAAGTCCGCTGCCGAGGGTAAAGCCATAGCCTTGGGAGGAGCGGCGGTCTGGCTGATTGTCTGCCCAGGAGGAGTCACTGAAGCCCGAGAGAAGGGGAGGGGAGGATCCACCCAGTGTGAGAGCGTGATCCTTGGTGCCGCAGAGATAGCGGAGGACCCGCTTGGCGGCAGCCCAGTGTTCCTCAGTGTGACGGCCAGAGCCGACGAACCGAGCAAGGACGCTGACGGGGTAGGCGAGGTCGGGGCGGGTGCACATCATCGCGTACATCAGCGACCCAACGAGCTCGGCGTAGGGCCGGGAGGAGGAGGAGGGGGAGGTGGGTGGCGCAAGTTGGTGACCGAAGGGGAGGGGGGTGGAGACTGGTTTGGCCTGCGCCATCTCAAACTTCTCCAGGACCTGGCCGATGTAGTGGGACTGGGAGAGAGTGATGGTGCGGGCGGATCGATCACGGGTGATAGCCATGCCGAGGTAGTTCTGGAGGGGACCAAGGTCCTTGCACTTGAGTCGTTCCTGAAGTGACCGCTTCATCTGGTCCATGTCGGCCCTGGAATCCGCCAGCAGGATCATGTTGTCAATGTAGACCGAGATGAAAAAGCGACTGGGGGAAGAGCGGATGAAGAGGCTGGCGTCGGAGTGGGAGGGGGAGAAGCCAAGGGACTGGAGAGTAGCAGACAGCTTCGCATGCCATTCTCGTGGTGCCTGCTTCAGGCCGTAGACCGGTCGCTTCAGCTGCCAGACGGTGTTGTCGGGGAACGTAGCATGGAACCCGGGAGGTCGGAGAGAAGAAAGATGCGTTCGTGCAGTTCACCTTGCAGGAAAGCGTTGGAGACGTCCATGGAGTCAATCTCCATGTCGTCTCTTGCACCGATGTCAAGAAGGGTGCGTAGGGTGGCCTGCTTGACGGTGGGGGCGAACGTGAACCAGTAGTCCTCAGCCCAGGTCTGGGTGAACCCCTTGGCAACGTAGCGGGCTTTGTAGACTGGTTCTTCTCCCGGCAGCTGCTTGACTCGAAAGATCCACTTGCCCTCAACCAGGTTGGCGTCAGGAGGGAGGGGAACGTCAATGAAGGAGTTATTGTGGATGAATGCTTCACATTCCTGAAAGATGGCGGCTATCCACTTATCGGCGTCAGGGCAGGTGATAGCCTCTTGGAAAGTGGAGGGGACGAAGATGGTGGGAGCGGGGATCGCGCTAAGGAGTAGGGCGCCGAGGAGGTCAGGGGAAAGTACTGTGAGAGAGGGAGTGTGGCGCCGGACCATGGTGAACTCCTCATGGGAGTCCTCCAGTTGGTTGAGGGAGGGAGGAGACGGTGCACCAAGGATGGGGTCAAGGGAGCGGGTGTGCATGCGAGGGAGGAGGAAGGGTGAGGAGCGGGCAATTGCCCTGCGCCGCTGCTGCTGCTGGTGCTGCTGGAACCCCTGCTGCTGCTGCGGCTGCTGCCGCTGCTGCTGCGGCTGCTGTTGCTGTTGTGGCTGCTGCGGCTGCTGCTGCTGCCGCTGCTGGTGCTGCCCTTGCTGCTGCTGCGGCTGCTGCTGGTGCTGCTGCTGCTGCAGCGGCTGCTGCTGCTGCTGCTGCTGCTGCTGCTGCTGTTGCTGTTGCTGCTGCAGCTGCTGCTGCTGCTGCTGCTGCCGCTGCTGTTGCTGCTGCTGCTGCTGCTGCTGCTGCTGCTGCTGCTGCTGCTGCTGCTGCTGCTGCTGCTGCTGCTGCCGCTGCTGCTGCTGCTGCTGCTGTTGCTGCTGCTGCTGCTGCTGCTGCTGCTGCTGCTGCTGCTGCTGCTGCTGCTGTTGCTGTGAAGGATGAGGAGGGGAGTGGGAAGGGGAGGGGGGAGGGGGAGCCGTGGAGTGTGCGGGGGAGGCAGGAGCAGTGGGATCGTAGACGTCGGCGGATGAAGGTGGCGGAAGCGGGGTGGGGAGGGGTGGGAGAAGAGGTGCCGGAGGGAGGAGGGGAGGGAGGACGGTGTCGGCCCAAGCGAGAGGACGTGTGGGAGGAGGGAGGGGGTCCGGTGGTGGGGAGGAGTAGTACGGGGTGGTCTCATCGAACACAACGTCAATGCTGCGGATGAGGCGACCAGAGGGAGGGTGAAGGAAGAGGTAACCAGGCGAGTCGCGGTTGTGTCCGAGGTAGACACACTCGAGGGCGCGAGGAGCGAGCTTGCCTTGGGTGCGGTCGGGTGGAGGAATAAGCACATATGCCTTGCAACCCCAGACACGGAGACCGGCAGCGTCAGGTTTGGTTCCTGACCAGAGCTCCGTGGGGGTAGCGGCAGTGTGTTGGGGATGGGAGTGAAGGTTGAGGAGGAGGGCAGCATGGAGGAGGGCATAGCCCCAGAGAGAGGGAGGGGTGGAGGCGTGAGCAAGGAGACAGCGGGCGATCTTAGTGATTTCGCGAATGCGGCTTTCTGCAACGCCGTTCTGCTGTGGGGAGTGGGGAAGAGTGTGGGTCTGTTGGATGCCATGGGTGGTGCAGTAGTGAGAGAGAGTGCGGTTGAGGAATTCGCCTCCCCCATCAGAGTGGAGGCGGCCGATGGGACGTTTGAAGTGGGTGCGGCATTGCTCTGCCCAGTTAATGATAATGGTCGGCGCCTGGTCTTTGGTGTGGAGGAGGAAAATGGAGGAGTAGCGGCTGTGATCGTCAACAAGAACCAACATGTAGCGATGGCCTTGGCGTGAGCGGGTGGGAGAGGGCCCCCAGAGGTCCATATGGACAAGGTCAATGGGTGCAGGAGCGAAGGATGGGTGGCTGTGGTGAGGAGATTGTTTGAGTTTGCCGTGGATGCAGGAGGGGCATGGGGGGGCTGGGGAAGAGGGAAGGGGAGGAAGAGTTGGAGGGAGGCTGTGAAGAAGTCGTGAGGTGACGGCAGTGCGGAGAGCGGCAAAATTCGGATGGCCGAGTCGGTGATGTAGGAGAACAGCGGGGTGGGAGAGATGGTCGGAGGTGGAGGGGATTGGAATGAGTGAGGAAGGGATGGAGGAGTGGGGAGGAGACGGAGTGGGAGGAGAGGGAGGGAGATGGGGAGGGCTGGTGGAGGTACCCGCACGAGTGGTAACATGGCAGGAGGATGGCCACGGAGTGCGGAGAGTGTAGAGGCGAGTGCGAGGGCAGAGGGGTATGCGGAGGAGGAAGCGGCCGGAGGCAGTGTGGTAAAGGTCACAGTAGGTGGCATTACCAGGATAGACGGCAGTGATACCTGCACCTTGGATTTCACGGTGGGAGAGGAGGTTGTTTCGGAGAGTGGGGATGTGGAGACCAGTTACCTTGCCAGAGGGGAAGAGTGAACAGGGGAGAGTGGAGAGGTGTGTGCATGGGATGGTGAAGCTGCTGTCAGCACCGTGAACTTGAGTGGGAGGGGAGAGGGGTGTGAGTGTACCAGCGTCTTTGAGGGCGGTCTCAGTGGCCCCACTGTCAAGGACAAAGTCCAGAGTGGGTGAGGAGGAGGAGGAAGACACTGAGTACTGGAAAGTGGTTTCATTAATGTTGGATGGGTACATGGAAGGAAGAGAGGGCGAAATAGCTATGTTGCCAAGGAAGCTCTCGTGAGTGAGAGGGGTGGCAGTGCTACTGGGGGGGGGTGGGGCACCCCAAAGGGGGGCAGGTGAGGCTTGAGCGGCCATGGCTGCTGTGCCAAAGTTCAACTGCTGCTGCGGCCAGGGAGGAGGGCTGGGTCCCCACTGTGGCTGGGGTCCTGACCCCCATGGGTGCTGCGGCGGCTGTGGCTGCTGCTGCTGCTGCGGCTGAGGCTGAAACAGCTGCTGTAACTGCTGCTGCTGCTGCTGCTGCTGCTGCTGCTGCTGCTGGAGGTGCTGCTGCTGGAGGTTGAGGAAGGGTGTGGGGGGAGCAAGGAGGCGGAGGTGGGCTGGGAGGTAGGCTGGATTGGTTTGGATATCGGTGGGGGAGGGGCGTGGGGAGATGTTGCCCCACTTTGGAGGAGTGCCAACGTTACCCCGCGCGTACCAGGCATCGTCGAGAGCCTTGAAGCACGTGCCAGGGGGATGGTTGGTCTGTCCGCAGGGAGTTCCAGCCCGAGGACCATAGCGGCGGACATAGGTGCAGGGAGGAAGCGTGCCAGTGCGATTCCCGCGACTTGCAGTGGGTCCACCCGAAGTGGTGGTGCCGTGCTCATCCCCAGTGGTGCCACCACGGTTGTTGCTGCTTCCCGAACCACCACCTCCCTTGCCCCCACCTCCTCCTTTGCCGTTGTTCTTTCCCTGCTTGCGAGGCTGGGTAGCGTTGAGGGAGGAGGAGGTGGGTTGGGAGGAGGCGAGGTTGACGATGGGTGTACGGAGTTTAACTTCGGTGTCGATAATCCACTGTTCAACGGAGGCGAGACCGGCCATGGGATTGGCTTCGGTAAAGGCGTGGAGGCGGGATTCGTAGTCTGGGGTGAGGTTAAAGAGGAGGCGGTGGATTTGAAGAGGTTCGGAGAGGCCGGCCTGGCGGGCTTCGAGGCGATCAGCTACCTCGCGCATGCGTCCGACGTAGTCGACTGCTCCGTCACAGGTGGCGAGGGTGATGGAAAAATACTCTTGGAAGAGGATGCCGACGGAGCTGATGTCGCGGCGCTCAAACATGGCATGGAGTTCTGCCCAGATGACCGAGGCACGGAGTTCCCGAGCCTGGAAGCGACGCATGAGGGAGTCAGGGAGAGCTCCAAGGAGAACGGTGCAGGCACGGGTGTCAGCAGCTGTCCAGGCGATGAGTCTGGGGGTGAAGTCAGCCATGTCGACCTTGTATTTGGCGACGACCTCGAGGTGAGCGTCGCGACCAGCAACCGCCTGATCATAGGCCTCAACTGCAGCATCGTACTCGGCTTTGCGGATGAGGTATTCACGGCGGCGTAGGATAAAATCAGTGTCCGCAGTGGCTTGGTCGGGGGTGATCTGAAGATCGGGTTCACGAGGAGGGTCGCCAGGAGTAGGAGGAAGAGGAGGAGTCTCGCCGGGGTGGGGAGGTTCGGTGGGGGGGAGGGCATGGGGGCGGCGGAGGATGACGTCAAGGACACGGTAGGGGGGAACCCATGCGTCGGAGAGAACGCGTCGGATGCTGCCGACGAAGGAGTGCCAGTTGACTGCGGACTTGTCCGCGGCGAGCTGGAGCTTATCAATGGAGGACGTATCAATAGGGGGAGGAAGTGGGGAGGGGGAGGGTGTAGGAGTAGCCATGATGGACGGCTGCAGGTGGACCCGCAGTGGTCACGGAGGAGCAACGGCGGCGAGGCCGCGGGGGGGGGGGGGGGAGAGGGGAGTGGCGCGGGCAGCAGCGGCTGGCGAGGCCGCGGCGGTTGGCGCGGAGGCGGCGTTGAAGCCGCGGAGAGGCGCGGACGGCGGCGGCTGGCGAGGCCGCGGCGGTGCTGGCGGGGAGGCGGCGTCGAGGCCGCTGGAGGGGAAGGCGCGGGCGGCGGCTGGCGAGGCCGCGGCGGCTGGCGCGGAGGCGGCGACGAGGCCGCGGAGAGGCGCGGGCGGCGGCTGGCGCGGAGGCGGCGACGAGGCCGCGGAGAGGCGCGGGCGGCGGCTGGCGAGGCCGCGGCGGCTGGCGCGGAGGCGGCGACGAGGCCGCGGAGAGGCGCGGGCGGCGGCTGGCGAGGCCGCGGCGGCTGGCGCGGAGGCGGCGACGAGGCCGCGGAGAGGCGCGGGCGGCGGCGGTTGGCGAAGCCGCGGCAGTGCCGGCGCGGAAGCGGCGACGGGGTCGCGGGAGGGAGCGGCGCGAGCGGCGGCGGCTGGCGAAGCCGCGGCAGTTCAGGCGCGGAGGCGGCGACGAGGCCGCGAGAGGGAGCGGCGCGAGCTGCGGCGCTGGCGAGGCCGCGGCAATGCAGGCGCGGAAGCGGCGACAAGGCCGCGGGAGGGAGCGGCGCGAGCGGCGGCGGCTGGCGAAGCCGCGGCAGTGCCGGCGCGGAAGCGGCGACGGGGTCGCGGGAGGGAGCGGCGCGAGCGGCGGCGGCTGGCGAAGCCGCGGGAGTGCTGGCGCGGAAGCGGCGACGGGGTCGCGGGAGGGAGCGGCGCGAGCGGCGGCGGCTGGCGAAGCCGCGGCAGTGCAGGCGCGGAGGCGGCGTCGAGGCCGCGGAAGGGAGCGGCGGCGGCGACGGCGGCCGCAGTGGCGTTGGCGCGGAGGCGGCGTCGAGGCCGCGGGATGGGGCGGGCGGTGGCGGTCGGCGGGACCGCGACAAGGCGAGCGCGGAAGCGGCGGTGGGGCCGCGAGCCGTGATGGCGTGGGAGGCCGTGGGGCTGCGAGGAAGGGAGTGCTTGAGGAGAGGGGGAGGGTGGCGAGATAGCCGCGGAGAAATGAGAAAGGAGGCCGGGGGTTGCGGCGGCCTTTGAAAAAAAACTAGGAGCGTAGGCCTAGGATTTTTAAGAGCTCTATACCATGTGAGAAGAAAAGTTAGAAGAGAAGTTGATGGATTGATTGAAAGGATGGGGGGTTTACATAGGAGATGAGTTGGAAACTAGCCTAGGTGAACATTATTGGACCCCAACCAAGGAGTTGGGTTGGGAGATTATTGGTGGGGTCCAATAATGTTGGCCAAGTTGGAGTTGGGCCAACATTATTGGAGGGGACCAATAATTCTACCCATCCCAACCCTTGGGGTCCAATAATTGGACCAAGGTTGGGTTTCCAACCTACAAATTGGGTAACCCCTGCTTGTACACCCAAACTAAGTTTGGGTGCTTATCTCTAGCCTATCCTATAGCATATATGCAGGTTACAAGAGAGGAGATATTCTAACAGGAGGGAGGGAGGGAGGGAGGGAGGGAGGGAGGGAGGGAGGGAGGGAGGGAGGGAGGGAGGGAGGGAGGGAGGGAGGGAAGGAGGGAGGGAGGCAGGGAGGGAGGGAGGCAGAGAGGGAGGGAGGCAGGGAGGGAGGGAGGCAGAGAGGGAGGGAGGCAGGGAGATAGAGTAAAACATTGGAAGAGAGCACTGAAGAACAGGAATATATTTTAACGGGGGAACATGAAATAATACAGGAACATACTGGAGGTTGCAGTGTGAAAAAAGACGCACGCTTTGGGAGCAGGAGAGCACCTGGTAGCGGAAGAGAGCACCTGGTAGCGGAAGAGAGCACCTGGTAGCGGAAGAGAGCACCTGGTAGCGGAAGAGAGCACCTGGTAGCGGAAGAGAGCACCTGGTAGCGGAAGAGAGCACCTGGTAGCGGAAGAGAGCACCTGGTAGCGGAAGAGAGCACCTGGTAGCGGAAGAGAGCACCTGGTAGCGGAAGAGAGCACCTGGTAGCGGAAGGGAGCACCTGGTAGCGGAAGAGAGCACCTGGTAGCGGAAGAGAGCACCTGGTAGCGGAAGAGAGCACCTGGTAGCGGAAGAGAGCACCTGGTAGCGGAAGAGAGCACCTGGTAGCGGAAGAGAGCACCTGGTAGCGGAAGAGAGCACCTGGTAGCGGAAGAGAGCACCTGGTAGCGGAAGAGAGCACCTGGTAGCGGAAGAGAGCACCTGGTAGCGGAAGGGCGCACCTGGTAGCGGAAGAGAGCACCTGGTAGCGGAAGGGCGCACCTGGTAGCGGAAGAGGAAGGTGAGCAGCAGCGTGCGGATGTGAGCGCCGTCCACATCGGCATCGGTGAGCAGAATGATGCGATGGTAGCGCAGCGCCCTCTGGTCAAACTCCTCGCCCTGCCATGCCACACATGCATGGCACAGTGGCACACATGGACCCGCATAAAAGAGTTCTGGAAGGTTCCAGAGCCCTCTGGTGGGACACACACAACAAGCGACACAGAAGGCCCATATACTACCAATTCAAACTCGCTAACAAACTTCTACCCACCTTTATTTTAACAACTTTATTTGAGATGCGTGCGTGTTATGCTAACAACTGTATCTAAGGTCAGTGTACGGCTCCTCTGAACGAATGCCCTTACTCGGATTCGAGGTTTTGCAGCAGCTGGGTCTTGTAGATGGCAGCGCCACATGAATGCCCTTACCCACAATGGTGCCCCAGCCCTCCAATAATCGCGTCATTGGCGCCACACAGGCCCTTACCACCCGCGGGCGGAGGATGAACCCTCGTTGCTCACCCTTAGCCCGAGCCCCAGGCCGAGGATGAGGTTCTGCAGCTCCTGGTTCTTGTAGATGGCCGCATCGTCCCGCCGCTCCACATTCAGGATCTTGCCGCGCAGGGGCAGCACCGCCTGCAGAAGGGGAGCGAGGGGAAGAGGGTGGATCAGGGTGGGGGGGGGCTGTTGAGGCGCCTCAAATGTCGTCCTTGCATTCCACGTTCAGACAGCACCGCGTTGAAGGGAGAGCGAGGGAAAGGGAAGGGCGTGAGGATTGAAAGATACGGAGGAGAGACACGTGTGAGGGTTGAGAAGGACCCTTGGTTTACGCGGTGATAGAGACAGGGGCAGGGAGAAGAGGTTGATTGCACGGAAGGAATGAGGAGCAGCCAGGCCAACAGGACCGCACACAACGCAGGGAGCAAGGTGCAGGGATGAGGGGGATGGCAGGGATGGAGGGGATGTGAGGGATGGGGAGGGATGAGGGGGGTGAGAGAGATGGGGTGATGGCAGAGATGGAGAATATGGGAAGAGGGATTGTAGGGATGCGAGGGATGAGAGGTATGGGGGGTATGAGAAGAATGGGAGGAATGCGAGGAATGCGAGGAATGCGAGGACTGGAGAGGAGTGGGGTGGTGACCTGAAGGCGTCTGTCGCGGCCCTGCTTGGTGCTGCCACCAGCCGAGTCCCCCTCCACTATGAACACCTCTGATCATGCGGTGTGGGTGTGGCACACGCATTGCGATGTGGCATATGTGTGGTATGATGTGGCATTGGGAATGGGAAAACAGGGTGGGTGCGACGGATGGAGAGTGGGCAAGTGCAGTCCTGCTTGGTGCTGCCACCAGGGGAATCCTCCACCATGAGCACTTTTGATGGCACGTTACGTGCACACGTGGCGTGGAGTGGTGTGGCGTCGTGTGGTGTGGCGTGGTGTGGTGTGGTGTGGCGTGGTGTGGTGTGGCGTTTGGCACGAACATGGCAGGCTGGGAGAGTGGAATGGAGGGTTGGCAAGTGTATGCGAGATGTTGTATGTAACCACCAGGTGCGTATGCGCACCTCGCCTCGTGTGGGACGAGGATGTGCAGTGCATGTGGATGGTTGTGATGCAAGGTAAGATTGTGCAATAGGCTGATTGTGCAAGGTGAGATTGTGCACGCTGGTGCTGGCATGACCAGATTCGATTTCACCCTCTGCTGGAAGCAGCTACCCTCTGACGTGCAATGACATGGGATGTGATGGCGGCACAATGTGCTGCACAGGGATACACAGGTGTTGCACAAGTCAGTCACGCACACATGCTTCCTTCAGCTCCGCCACGCTGGGTAAGCAACATCACCGGTTGCCCCTTAGGCAGCGAACCATGCCCACAATTCCATTCCATTATCCCGTGGCAGCTGGCAGGAGCGCACCTGACTTGGCGGGGTCGTCACACGAGCAGTCCGCCAGCTTGCCCGGCAGCATGGCCGACTTCAGCACACTCTTCCGCCGAACCAACTCCCGAGCCTTCTTCGCAGCTTCGGCAGCCTGCCAGGCATGGCGAGCAGAGCAGCAGGCGTGGCTGATGCGTGGGTTGCACTATTCACAGCACTGAGGTGAGGCTTGGCAGAGCACAATGAGTGAATGGCACGGTATGTGGGTCAAGCCTGCCATTTCCGTGAGTGAGGCAAGAGGGTGCACTGCACAGCAACACCGGATCCGTGAACCAGCCAACGAGAGTCATCATGTCTGATCACATGCACGGCAGCAAAGGCACCACCGCATGAACACAAGGAACAGCTGTGGTTGGAGGGTCTGCATACTCTATGTGGCAATGAGCGGGTTCAGTGAGGGCCAAGACCACAATGAGTCGTGCCGTGACACCTCATACCCGACACTCGTGAGGGCTTGCAACATGGGTCTAGCATCTGGCATGCAGCATGCAGCATGGACACACCCACCCACCTTGTATGCGTCGAGCGCCTTGGAGAGGATGGCCTCACACGCTGCGAGGTTGGCGTCCAGGAACGCTGCCAGGGCGTCACTCACCACCCCGTCCACCACCCTGCGCACCCCTGGATTGCCCAGCCGCGTCTGATGCACACACACACAGAGGGGAAGGTGATGCGAGGCAGGGGTGAGGGGTACGTTCCGAGGATGCCAAGGACCTTTGTCTCTCTCACTGTGCTCTCTCATCTCAACATCCACTATCCCTCAACTCCCACTCTCTCATTCCCCCTTACTCCCTCCCCACCTTGCTCCACCCACCTTGGTCTGGCCTTCGAACTCAGGGTTGCCCACTTTAACGGCCACCACACATGTGAGCCCCTCCCTCAGGTGCTCGCCCGCCAGGTTCTCCTCCTTCTCCTGCCGGCCCCACATGCACGCACGTGAACAGGGCACACGGGGTGGGAGAGGGCACGCAGGGGAGAGGGCAGGGAAGGGAAATAGGGCACAGATGAGCAGAGGTGCACAAGGTGTCTGAAAATAAAAAGAGAATGTCATGAGATTTCCACATGACTACCACTCGCTCTGAGCAGCCCTTGGCCCTCACCAGCCACCCACCTTGAGCAGGCGTTGCTTCCGGGCAGCAGCGTTGAGGGTGCGGGTGAAGGCGGCCCTGGCACCGTCGAGGTGCGTGCCGCCATCGGAGGTGCGGATGCTGTTGGCATACCCCACCACGCTGTCACTGTACGCATCAACGCTCCACTGCCACGCCACCGCCACGCCCACGCCGTCCCTCTCCTCCTCCACACACTGCGCCTCGTGCATCGGCGTCTGCAGTTGGGGTATGCGCGGACATGCATGCATGCATGGCGGGGAAGGGGTGGTGAGAGCCGGCTCTGCTTGTCGGGCCAGTTGAGGCAGTCAAGGACATCTGTGGGCTTGGCTCGGCTCGGCTCAACGCCATAACACGGCAAGTCCATCAGGCAAGCTGTGGACGGTCGGACCTCGTCTCATGCGTGACGGGGTGCATGCTTTCACTTTACTTCTACACAGCACCTCCACTCTGACCAGCCCCATGTCCACTCATACTCCATGCACACTAACTCTCTCACACTGCAGTCTGCACTGCCCACCTTCTCGCTGTTGAGCCAGCGCACGAACTCCAGCAGCCCGCCCGCAAAGTGGAAGTCCGCTGACCGCCCGCCCTCCTCCTGCAGGTGAATCACAACCTGTTGAGGGGAGACACGTGGGGAGAGGGGTAGCCGGAAGGTGTGGGGAAGGAAGGAAGGTGGGGCACGGGAGACTGATGGCCCTGTGCCGACCTTGACCACACTGCATTGCAGCATGGCGGAAACTCAAATGAGTGGCGCCAGTGGTGAATGCTGCTCAGTGGATTCACATCTTGCGAGCGCTAACGGTCGTATGAGGCTTATGTGGTGCGGGGCTTGCCTAGAGCAAGCAGCAGCAGCCCTTGGAACAAGGGCTCGCCTTCCAGCATGAGACAGAATTGTACACTTCGTGTGAGAAGTGTGGGCTTGCAGGACAGAGAGAGGAGAGGCAGACAAGGCCGAACGGTGCAGAAGGGGGCAGACAACGAGGACAAAGGGGCAGAAGGGTTTGCATGCCTGGGGGTTGAGGAAGGCGAGCTCTCTGAGGCGCGCCGCTATGGTGGTGAAGTCCAAAGCCGTGGTCGTGGTGAAGACTGGCAGGGGAGGAAAGGCGCGGCACGGGGTAAAGGGCAGGGGAATAAGGGTTGGGGATGAGACCACGGGATGTCAGCGCAGCGACGGTGGTGAAGTCCAGGGCCGTGGTCGTGGTGAAGACTGGGCGCGGGGGAGGAGAGGGGGGAACGAGTGGGCACGGGGATAAGGGTGGACGTCAGACAGGGGGGTGTAAACAAGGTGGTGTGGTGAAAACATTGCTGCATGAAAAAGGGCAGGTTCCTTTGAAAATCCATCAAGTGCCGTGTGGTGGTGAGCAGGAATGGGGTGCGGCGGACAGGCAAGGAAAGGGCTTTGTGAGTCGAGAGGAAATGGTGATTGAGCAGGTGAACGGGAGGGAAGTGAAGCACATGCCACATGGGAGTGGACGATGGATGGCATCTGAGCGCCATGGCGTTTGGAACGTGCAATGGAGGGTGTCACGATTGCAGCATGCATGGATGGTGACAAGGCACACCAGAACAAATTGCACAATGCACAAGTCTATCTGAGGGGAGGTGGTTGAAGAGGAGGTGATACGTCTCAACAGAGATATTGAAACACTAGACCATAAGCACAGCCCATTATGAAGAAAGCTAAGCAGCACCAGTTGCAGCACCTGTGGGGTCTGGCAGGAAGTGTATTTGAGTGCCCGTGCGCTGCGCCTCCCCCTCCTCCACCTCCTCCACCCTCATCCCCCCCACGGGCACGCCCCTCTCAAACCGCTGCCAGTACTGCCGCCCGTCCCTCCACACGCGTGCCTCCAGCCACTGAGGTGGGGGGGACATGGGGGGTTGTGTGGGGATGCGTGCATGTGAGTACTGGCAGCCGAGGGAGATGCTTCAATTCAAGCTACTGATGGGGAATGAATAGGACGAGTGCGGTACATGGTTTGGTACCCACTGAGTGGCAGCTGAGTAGAACCTGAGAGAGAGCATTGACGACTGACACGCCCACGCCGTGCAGCCCTCCTGACACGCGGTAACCGCTTGAGTCGCCCCCGAACTTGCCGCCCGCATGCAGCACCTGGCGGGAGGCGAGCAAGGTGGTGCGGCGAGAAAGAAGTTCAAGGGCAAAATGGAGGTCACGCGGACTTGGTAAGGGAGGTGTCAACCAAATAGGGATGATGGAATGGCAGCGATGGATGAAGGGAGAGGGTGAGTGGCGCATGCAGGTTGCAGGGCGTGGGAGTTGCAGAGTTGAAAGATGAGCGGCTGATCGGGTGACTCACTGTGAGCACGGTCTCTAGTGCTGACTTGCCCGTTGATGGATGGATGTCCGTTGGGATCTGCATTGCCCATGGGGACAGTGATTATCATACCCACACGTGGACACACACACACACACACACACACGCACGCACACACACACACACACACACACACACACACAGACAAACAAACCAGACAGCCAACACACAACGAGTGAGCAACCAGGCAGCAACACACACGAAGGTTGGAGGACTGGACCTCCGTCCTAGGGACCAAGCCTCGTGGCCTGCAACGTGCACAGCCACTCATTCACACACTGCCTGCTCATTCACACACTGCCTGCTCATTGCATTTTCTAAACCACGACCTGCATCCCAGCCCTTAAACCATGAGCCACAAACGCTGCCCTCATACACACTCACTCACCCCTCGGCCACGAGCAGTGACGCACACGGACCCGTCACGTCACCCGAAGAAGCACAGGCAGGGCAGAGGAACGGTCTGGGACTCGTACCCCGTACCCTACGCCAATGCACTCTGCATCCTCCTCCAGTCCTTCAACCAATCCTGAGCCCTGTCCTGACCGCACACCCGCTCACCCCACGCCTGTTGTCAGTGACGCACACAGAGCGGTCCGGCACCCAGCAGCACGGGCAGTGCAGAGGCACGGTCTGGTGGCCACAACCCCTTCCCACAGCGCGCGCTGCTTCTCAATCGTGCAACTCACCCCGCGGCCATTGTCAGAGACGCACACAGAGCCGTCCGCCCCCAGCAGCACGTCCACCGTGGTGGCATGGCCCGCCTGTGCCTCGTCTATGGCGTTGTCCACCACCTCGTACACCTGCCATGGCAGCAGCACGCATGAGCAGGGGGGAGGTGTGAGGGTGGGGGTTGAAGCCGCGTCGATGCACCCCAGGGCCTCTGCGCGTCGTCCATGGCGTTGCCCTGTCCACCACCTCGTACACCTAGGGGGGTTCAAGATGTGCGCAAGCACCTCAGAGCAGGAGGTGGGCGGGTCCGGGGGGGTTGGGGGAGTGAGGGGGTTGCGGGGAAGGAGAGGAGGTGGGGGACGAGGGGTTAAGGTTACGAGCGTGGTGCAACAATGCCAGCAGACAAGGTGCAAGTCAGAAGGGGCGCGGCAGAGAGGGAAGGAGTGGGGTTTCAGATGGTAATGGAGCACAGAGCACAGGGGCGCCGTCAGACCCGCCACTGCTGTCGCACGGCGCCCCTGTGCCTCATGCGTGGAGCTGCTGCCCATTGCCTCGTACCCCTGCCAGCTGCAACATGACAGATGAAGCTGGCCCTAGTGGGGGGTGTAGGGGAAGGAGAGGAGAAGGTGGGGGACGAGGGGGTAAGGGTACGAGCAGGGTAGGAGGAGGTGCGTCAACTAACGCACTGTGCAGCAGAGGTTCACTCGCAAACAAATGCAGAGCGAGTGGTGCTGAGCGGTTGCCTCCCACCAGGTGGGCAGAACAGTGCCAGGTAGATGGTGCGGAGCGATGCAGGGCTGTGGGCTCACCAGGTGATGCAGAGCGGTGTGGGGCGGTGGGCTCACAAGGTGGTGCAGAGCGGTGCAGGGCTGTGGGCTCACAAGGTGATGCAGAGCGGTGCAGGGCGGTACTCTCACCAGGTGGTGCAGGCTCACCAGGTGGTGCAGAGCTGTGCAAGGCGGTGGGCTCACCAGGTGGTGCAGAGCTGTGCAAGGCGGTGGGCTCACCAGGTGGTGCAGAGCTGTGCAAGGCGGTGGGCTCACCAGGTGGTGCAGAGCTGTGCAAGGCGGTGGGCTCACCAGGTGGTGCAGAGCTGTGCAAGGCGGTGGGCTCACCAGGTGGTGCAGAGCTGTGCAAGGCGGTGGGCTCACCAGGTGGTGCAGAGCTGTGCAAGGCGGTGGGCTCACCAGGTGGTGCAGGCCTGTGCAAGGCGGTGGGCTCACCAGGTGGTGCAGAGCTGTGCAAGGCGGTGGGCTCACCAGGTGGTGCAGAGCTGTGCAAGGCGGTGGGCTCACCAGGTGGTGCAGAGCTGTGCAAGGCGGTGGGCTCACCAGGTGGTGCAGAGCTGTGCAAGGCGGTGGGCCCACCAGGTGGTGCAGAGCTGTGCAAGGCGGTGGGCTCACCAGGTGGTGCAGAGCTGTGCAAGGCGGTGGGCTCACCAGGTGGTGCAGAGCTGTGCAAGGCGGTGGGCTCACCAGGTGGTGCAGAGCTGTGCAAGGCGGTGGGCTCACCAGGTGGTGCAGGCCTCGGGGTCCCGTGCTGCCGATGTACATGCCTGGCCGCCTCCGCACCGGCTCCAACCCCTCCAGCACCTGCCGTGGTGGGGGGAGGTCGGGGGGGCGAATGGGTGGGTGGGTGGGTAGCAGCACGCATGGCGCGGGCGTGATGGGAGTCACGGTGACATGGGCGGCCTCCAGAACACAGGCAAGAGGGTATGGCGGGAGGGGGACCCTAATTTGCCGCTTCATTGTCGTCCAGACTCTCCACCTCGCCTGCCCCAACATCCCTCCCTCCGCACCCCCTTCCCTCCCTCATCACCCTCCCCCCCGCACCCCCCTCCCTCCCGCAACCCCTCACCTGAATGTGTTCCGCGCCATAGCTCGATCTGCTCTTCTTCCCCCCTCTTGCCTTGCCCCGCCCCTCCTTTCCCTCCTCCGCCCCCCCCGACGCGCTTGCCCGCACGACCCCCGCCACACCATCCTCCCCCTCCGCCGACCGCAGCTGCGCGTCCCCTGCGCCCCCCCCTGCACCATTCCCCGCGCCTATGGCCACGCCCCTTAATGCGCCAAGCCCTGCGCCTCTGTCTCCGCTGCGGGCGGAGGCCAACAGCTGTCTATCGCTTCCGCCAACCCCTGCGAGCGCCCTAGGCGCGCACAGTGAGGCGCGGAAGCTCCGCGCGGTGCTGGGAATATGAAGATGGCGCGAGGGGGGGGCGGTGGGGCTACATACTAGCGCCGCGCGGGATGTCGACGGGTGGACGCGGCGGGGGAAGGGAAGCACGATGCCGACACGCGCTGTCGGAGCCAGGCGCGCGGAGGAAGAGAGACGCACGGCGACAGCGCGGATGGCGGAGGGGCGGCGGAAGGAGGCGGCGAGCACGGCCCTGCGGCAGAGGGCCATGCCCATGGCGGGCTGCGGGGGAAGACGACGCAGGTATGGCGAGATGAGGGATGAGGCGGAGGCGAATGGGCTTTATTGGTATGATGGCAAAGATTGACAAGTTTGGTGGTGATGCAATGCCTAGGGAGCGTCGGGAGGGAAAGGATGATTGGTGGGGCGAATGGGAGAGAACTGTAGGCACTGGTGAGGTGCGGAATCTGGGATTCGCAAGCTTGTAGGTGTTACTGGAAAATGCCGAACCGAGTATATTGTGGAAATAGCCTCTAGTTTTGGTGTTAGGGCAGTCCAGCGCGTTCGTCCTTGGTTCTTACGTGCGGTACTCTTGTTACATGACGGTCAAAAACGGTAAAGCTTGAGAACCTCTGTGCACCGTCTGGAACCGTCTTGCGCCACGAGCCACGACGGATGAACTGAAAACGAACGCGCTGGATGACCCTAGAATCTCTTCAAATTCCCCACTGCGTGGTAGGCTCGCCGCGTACATCTCTGTCCAAGGCTGGACCGTTCTTCGCCTGTCCAGAATGTAACGCAACAAGAATGGTATGAATTTGCCTTTTCTTCTATTCAATCTCAAGGCTCTCATCCCTCGTCTGGAGCTTTGAGACCGCGCCCTTGTAAATTCGCAGATTCAGATCCGAATTGTCATATATCCCCGACTCAAAGGCGAGAATGGTATGAATGTAATTCGGATCAAGAATGGTATGAATTCGCCTTTTCTTCTATTCAATCTCAAGGCTCTCATTCCACCTTACACTCCCGATTTCGTAGATTCAGATCCGAATTGTCATATATCCCCGACTTTCGACCAAGCATAGCAAAATCCCTGGGCCAGACATGGCAGAGGCTTCGAATGGCGAAGCGCCACCCCAGCAGCCGACCTCATAGTCCGATGGCGACCCTTTCGCTGCGTTCTCCGACAACCTGCTGGGCGCCGTGCTGCTGCGCGTGGCGTGCAACGGCGTCCGATTCGTCGCCCAGGATCGCCCAATCAGCGACGAGGAAGAGGAAGATGCGGAAAGGAAGATCGACGAGGCCCTCCTTGGCTCGCTGGCAATCCCGACGCTTCCGGTGAGGCGGCGGAGGCTCGTTCTTCCAACGTGAAGTGCGCGTCGTCGCTGGTTCCGTTTCGCCACGCGCTCGTCTGCAAGCGCTGGTTGCGCGTCGCCCGGTTCGTGCATCCCGCCATCGTCGTTCCGCTCGACCGCTTCTTCTCCGCGCGCGCCCTCGCGTCCCTCCTCCGCGCGCCCGCGACCGCGGGGTTCCCCAACCTCCGCCACCTGCACCTCGCGCCGAACGCGCTGGACACCGTCGATCCCGCGCTCGTGCGCGCCATCTGCGCCGGATCTGGGCCGTCCTTGACGCATCTCTCGCTGCAGCTGCACGACGGCTGGCTGCACGTGACGCGTGCCCGACGGTACTCTTTTCGTGGGATCGCCGCGCAGGCGGCGGCGGCGGCGGAAGCGGCGCTAGCGGCGGGGGCGATCTCGCCGGCCGATGTCACCGCCTTGTTCTGCTCTTGCACGCGATTGGTCAGTCTCGACTTGACCTTTGGGAGAGGAATTTCCGAGGTTCCCTTTGCCGTCAGTTGTCTGCAGCAGCTGACGAAGCTCGGTATGTCCTTTGACGAAGATGTTACCACGTTACCAGCGGAGATCGGCAGTTTGGTGCGTCTGAAGCGGTTACAGATTCGGTCGACTTCCCTCGTGCTGCCCGATTCCTTTTGCGGGCTGCCCGCCCTGGAGCACGTCAGCTTGCGCGGCTCCGATTTCTCCCATTTGCCCAGCGACCTCGGGCAGCTCCGAAACCTCAAGAGCCTCACTCTCAAACTTCTCATGCAACTGGTAGAGCTGCCTGCCTCCATCTGCCTCCTCTCCGCGCTTACCAGTCTGACCATCGAGCACTGCCACGAGCTGGCAAAACTGCCCGAAAACTTTCATCAGCTGCCGAGTCTGCGCACCATCCACCTGGGAGCACTACTTGCCCTCACTGCCCTCCCAGAATCTTTCGGTCAGCTGCCCGCGCTGCGTAACCTCACCATTCAAGACAACGCTCGCCTCAAGCACCTCCCGCCGTCGCTCTCTGCCAGCAGCACGCTGGAGCGCCTCTTTCTTAACGACTGCCAAGCGCTCTCAGCCCTGCCGCACGCCATGGGCCACATTCCCACCCTGGAGCGAGTCGACCTCAGCTTCCTCGACGCGCTCACCGCGCTGCCCGACTCCCTGGGAAGTGCCTCTCGCCTGCGCGAGCTGAACGTCGTCCACTGTCGCCGCCTCGTGGCTCTCCCGCGCTCGCTCTCCGCCCTCACCTCCCTCGCCCGCCTTACGCTCGATGGTTGCGCCGCGTGTGCGCTGCCCGAGGATTTCGGGCAGCTGTCGAATCTGGTGCGGCTGAAGCTGTCCTGCGAGCCACTGACCGCCCTCCCCAGGTCGTTCGGGCAGCTGGGGAAGCTGCAGGAGCTGAGGCTCCACGCCTGCTACGGGCTACTCGAGCTGCCCGCATCATTCGCAAATCTGTCCTCGCTTGAAACCTTAGCCATCTACGGGGGACCGTCGCTCACCTCCCTGCCGCCCTGCTTCGAGCACCTCCCGCAGCTGCGCCGCCTGGAGCTCTTCAACTGCGCCATGCCGAACCTGCCGGAGAGGTTTGGGCAGCTACCGAAGCTAAAGGTTTTGATGGTGGGGAGCAGGGAGAGTTACACGAGGAACGGCGCGGCTCCAGAGGAGCCCGCGCCTCCTGCTTGCCCCGCGGCGCTCTCAGTGGCCACGCTGAATGAACCGCTGCTGGGTCGCTGCATGCTGCGCAGCTTTCCCCTGTCCTTCACTTCCCTCACGTGCCTGCAGCAGCTGGTGATTGACGGGTGTGACGCGCTGGAGAGCTTGCCGAAGGTGTTGGGGCGGCTGGCTGGGCTGCAAGTGCTGCACGTCAAGAACTGCCCGCTGCTGCGCTGCTTCCCCTCCCTCCTGCCCGCTCCTCCTCCCACCTCCACCTCCGCACCTGTTGGGCGTTCCGCCACTGCTGCTCCTGGTGCCGCTGTGCCTGCCCCTGGTGCTCCGTCCAGTCCCTCTGCTCGCCCTGCCGCTCACCCCTCTTTGCTCCCAATGCTTCACACCCTGGAGATCGCCAAGTGCCCGAAGCTCACCAGCCTGCCGGACGGGCTCCATCTGCTGCCCAGGCTGGAGCGCATCGCTCTGGACGACTGCATCGCCCTGGGCTCACCCGATGACTGCCTCCCGCTCACCGCACCACTCGCCCTCCCGCCCTCCATCACCGCCATCTCCCTCTCAAGCGTCTTTCTCCACTCCCTCTACCTCCCACCCTCCTTCCTCTCCCTCACGCGCCTCACCCATCTCAACCTGCACAAACTCCTCGGTCTCCAGGCGCTCTTTGCTGCTCCCAGCAGCGCTCCACCGGAGGACCTACTGGGCGACTGGGAGGCGGGCACGGAGACCCATCCCATCTTTGCCTTGCGCATCCACCCCCACCCAGGTCTGCTCGCCAGCTTGGCGCCCCTCTCGTGCCTGCAGCACCTTGCCATTGTGCAATCCAGGCTGCCCTCACTGCCCAGCAACCTGAGCGAGCTGGAAAGCCTCAGAGCACTCATTGTGGAGGACTGCACCGTCATCACCTCCCTCCCTGCATCCCTAGCCCATCTCCCCAACCTTGAAAAGCTCGTGCTGAAAGCCCTCCCGCAGCTGGCACGCCTGCCCGAGAATCTCGGGCAGCTGAAGGCCCTGAAAGAGCTGACGGTGGAGTTGTGTGACGTGCTGGTGGGGCTGCCCACGTGCATGGGCCTGCTCTCCTCCCTCGTGCTCCTCTCCATCACCGACTGCCGGAAGTTCGCCTCTCTCCCCGACTCCATCGGCGCCCTCCCCCGCCTCGCCTCCCTCACGCTCAACCGTCTCCCCGCCTGCGCTGGCTGCCAGAGTCCATCTCTCGCCTCCCCGCCCTCGTGATCCTCTCACTGGAAGATTGTGAGGAGCTGCGGGTGTCAAACTATATGTGCTGCATATTGTCTAGGCTGTAGTGGGGTAGCCCATATGGGGTACAACCCAATTAGGGTTTACTACTTGTACTCCTGCATCCTGTTAGTTCACTCATTCCTGCTGCTAGATTCTAACATGGTTTCAGAGCACTAAGGTCCGTAGGACCGTTTTTTTTTCGGGCCCACCTACCGCTGCGGTTACCGCGCTACCCCACGTACCTGCCTGCCTTGCCTTGCCTTGCCTTGCCTTGCCTTGTGACGTGCTGCCCTAGGCCAGCGCGCTGCCCCTAGAGGCCCGTAAGGCCCGCGCGCCGCCTCTACACGCCTGTCAGGCCCGCAAACACGCTGCTACCGCGCGCTGCCCGCACCGAGACCGCGCAGCCCGCACCGAGTCGCGCGCAGCCCGCTGCAGCCACGCGCAGCCCGCACCGAGCCGCGCGCAGCCCGCTGCAGCCGCGCGCAGCCTGCACCGAGCCGCGCACAGCCCGCTGCAGCCGCGCGCAGCCCGCACCGAGCCGCGCGCAGCTCGCAGCTGCCGCGCGCAGCCCGCGCCGAGCCCACGCAGCCCGCGTCGAGCCGCGCGCGGCCTGCTACGGCCTCGCGAGGCCCGCGCGCGGCCCGCAGCAGCCCGCGCCGAGCCGCGCGCGGCCTGCTACTGCCTCGCACGGCCCGCGCGCGGCCCGCAACAGCCCGCGCCGAGCCGCGCGCGGCCCGCTACTACCTAGCGCGCCGAGCCGCGCGCGGCCCTCTGCCTCGGCCCCGACCTGCCGCTGATGCGGCCCCGCCCTGCAGCTGCCACGGCCCCGACCTGCCGCTGATGCGGCCCCGCCCTGCAGCTGCCACGGCCCCGACCTGCCGCTGACGCGGCCCCACCCTGCTACTGCCGCTGAAGCGGCCCCGCCCTGCAGCTGCTTCGGCCCTGCTCTGCAGCCGGTGTTGCGGCCCCGACGTCGCCGCTGTCGAGCGCCGGCCCTGCTCGCCCGGTGAGCGCCTGCTCTCCCAGCCTTTGGTGAGCGACTGCCTGCCTGCCTGACGGCCTGCCTGCCTGCCTGCCTGCCTGCCTGCCTGGCTGCCTGCCTGCCTGCCGGCCTGCCTGCCTGCCTGCGCGCCTGCCTGCCTGCCTGCCGGCCTGCCTGCCTGCCTGCCGGCCTGCCTGTCTGTCTGCCTGCCTGCCTGCCTGCCTGCCTGCCTGCCTGCCTGCCAGCCTGCCTGCCTGCCTGCGTTCCTGCCTGCCTGCCTGCTTGCCTGCCTGCCTGCCGCGCCTGCCTTGCCTGCGCTACTGCTACTGGCAGGTGGTCAGATGCAGCTCCAGCGACGTTCACGCGAGCCTCTCACGCCCCAGCAGCTTAGTGAGTGGTATACTAGCTGGGGTTGTCGCGGTAGCCGTAGTAGCTGTCGCCCTGGGGCTGGTCAGTTGGGAGCGTCTAGCAGTGGCCAGCTGCAGCTGCAGGGGCGTCCACGCGAGACACTTACGCCTCAGCAGCTCCAGGAGTGGTACGCTCAGTGTAGCAGGTCTACACGTACAGTTCGCTGCCCGTACGTCATTCGCACAGGTGCTAGGACTGGTCAGCCTTGTGGGACGCTTGGTCACACACAGTCCCGCTGCTTCGCCCGTCTGAGCGACGACTGGCGCACAGTGTTTGGCGACGAGGCTGAGCTCCCCACCTGGCTGGAGCTGCATGGACAGGGGGTAGATATCTTTGCACCTGACTACGATGCTATTCTCACTGCCATGTATGCATTGTCTACTAGTGCTGACCGTGCCTGTTGCCTGTGCGTACCGCCTGACCCTGGTGAGGCTGCTGCCCTAGGTGCTAGTGCGTCTCCTGCTCTAGGTGCTGGTGAGGCTGCTGCTCTCGGTGCTAGTACGTCTACTGCTCTAGGTACTGGTGAGGCCGTGGCTTCAGGTGCTGCTGTGTCTGCTCTCTCTGGTACTGCGCCCACTGCGGTCTCGCACACCTTCACCCTTGACTCAGGAGCTTCCCGCTCCTTCTTTCGCGACTGCACCGCACTCACGCCGCTCCGTCGGCCAGTCCCGGTCTCCCTGGCGGACCCCTCTGGGGGTCCAGTCCTTGCCCACTATTCCACGGTTCTGCCGTGTCCGGCCGTCCCGTCCGGCTCGCTGTCAGGTCTTTACCTCCCCTCGTTCTCTACGAACTTGGTGAGTGGAGCTGACCTCCAGGATGGGGGGGTTCACCAGTTCACTCCTGCGAGTCAGCGAGTGACTCACTGTACGTGTGCTAGGACGGGCCGGCACTTGGCCACGTTCACCCGTGCACCTGGCTCGAGTCTGTACACACTGACCACTGAGTCCCCTCAAGTAGCTGCGTCTGCGTCTGCGTCTGGTCAGCTGGCGGCCCCCTGCGAGTGTCGCGCTTTGTCGCACGACACTCTCCTGTGGCACCACCGCCTTGGTCACCCCTCCTTGCCTCGCCTGCGTAGCATGCACTCTCGCTCCCTGGTCTCTGGTCTCCCCAGGTCTCTGCCTGCCCTCCCTCCCTCGCCTGCGCCGCCCTGCATTCCTTGCGTCGAGGGGCGGCAGCGCACCGCTCCTCACTCCTCCTCGTTTCCTCCCACAGAGGCTCCACTGCAGACGCTCCACCTGGACGTGTGGGGCCCAGCCCGCGTCCAGGGACAGGGCCACGAGCGGTACTTCCTGCTGGTTGTCGATGACTACACGCGTTACACCACGGTCTTCCCCTTGCGGAGCAAGGCGGATGTCCCTGCTGTTTTGATCCCCTGGATCCGCGCTGTTCGTCTCCAGCTCCGCGAGCGGTTCCGGTCGGACTTTCCTGTCCTGCGTTTGCACTCTGACAGAGGTGGTGAGTTCTCCTCCGACCTCTTGGCAGCCTACTGTGCAGAGCACGGCATCACCCAGTCGTTCACGCTTCCGGCCTCTCCGCAGCAGAATGGGGTTGCTGAGCGCCGCATTGGCTTGGTCATGGAGGTCGCTCGTACCTCCATGATCCATGCGGCTGCCCCCCATTTTCTATGGCCGTTTGCGGTCCGGTACGCCGCGCATCAGCTCAACCTTTGGCCCCGTGTCTCCTTGCCGGAGACCTCGCCCACACTGCTGTGGACGGGGAAGGTTGGCGATGTGTCGCGTTTCCGGGTCTGGGGTGCTCGTGCCTTTGTCCGCGATACCACCGCGGACAAGCTCTCCGCCCGCGCTGTTCCCTGTGTCTTCCTTGGCTTTGTCCCTGACGCGCCTGGTTGGCAGTTTTACCACCCCGCCTCGCGCCGTGTCTTTGCGTCTCAGGACGTCACGTTCGACAAGTCGGTTCCCTTTTACCGTCTCTTCCCCTACCGCACTGCCTCGCTCCCCCCCCCGCCGCTCTTCCTCGCTCCAGGTGCTCCCCAGGTAGACCCCCTCCCCGCTCCCGGTCCTGCTCCTTCAGGTGTTTCTCAGGTAGACCCTCCTCCCTTGACTGCGCCGGTTGAGGTCACTGGTGACTCAGGTCCTACTGAGAGTGGTCCTGCTCGGGGTGCTACTTCTGGGGGTGCTGAGCCTGGGGGTGCGGAGCCTGGGGGTGCTGAGCCTGGAGGTACTGAGCCTGAGGGTGCGGAGCTTGAGGGTGTGGAGCCTGGTGGTGCTGAGCCTGAGTGTGAGGGGTCTGGGGGTGCTGAGCTTGGCGGTACTGACGCTGGAGGTACGGGAGCTACTGAGGGTGCTGGCGCTGGAGGTTCGGGAGCTGCTGGAGGTCCTGGTGCTGGTGGCGCTGGAGCTGGAGGTTCTGGAGCTGCTGAGGGTGCTCGCGCTGGAGGTTCTGGAGCCGTTGGGGGTGCGGGCGCTGAGGGTTCTGAGTCTGCTGTTGCGCGGTCTCCTTGGAGTGGCCGCCTTCGTCCACGTGTGCCTCTCACCCCACAGCAGCTGCAGGACTGGTACGGTCGCCGTCAGCGTCGCGCTGCTGGAGCTAGGAGTCGTGCTGGTCCTTTGTCTACTGGAGGTGCTGGAGTTGCTGGTTTTGGAAGTGCTCGTGCTGGAGACACTGAGGCTGGAGACCCTGGGACTGGAGGTGCTGGCTCTGGGGGTGCTGCTGCTGGAGACACTGAGGTTGGAGACCCTGGGACTGGAGGTGCTGGTTCTGGGGTGCTACTGCTGGAGACCCTGAGGTTGGAGACCCTGGGACTGGAGGTGCTGGTTCTGGGGGTGCTGCTGCTGGAGACACAGAGGTTGGAGACCCTGGGACTCGAGGTGTCGGCTCTGGGCCTGGAGCTTCTGGTGCTGCTGGAGGTGCTGGAGCTGCTGGAGGCACTGGAGCTGCTGGAGCTGCTGGTACTGGTGCAGCTGCGCCGACACGACTGTTCTTCGCTCCGCCGTCTCCGTCGTCTCTGCCGCCGTCTGCCTCTGTTCTTCGTCAGGTTCTTACTCTTCCGTCGTCTACTGGTCTTCCGTTACAGTCTGGCTCACCGCTGCCTGCTCCTTCTCCTTACACTGAGCTGACTGGTAGTCCTGCTGAGCGTCGTGAGCCTGCGTCGCGTCCTGTTTCGCCTGTTCGTCCTGGTCGTACCGGTCGTCGTGTTCCTCGTTCGCGTCAGCCGGCTGTCCCCGGCGCACACCTCGTAGTCCGTCGTCCTTCCTCTGCTCCGCCGCCTGTTCCTCTGCCGTCTCCTCCTGCGTCCTCTCTGCCTGCCGTTCCGGACCCTGAGTCTGACCGGTTTCGTACTGAGCACCCTACTGTCACGCGTCTCCTAGCCACTGTTGTCACTGACCCGTCGTTTGAGTCTACTGCTGCGTCTGCCTTGGTCGCTGAGCTTGTTGACTTTGCTGCTGCCTGTCGTCTAGACTATGCCGCTAGTCTTGTTGCTGAGTCTGAGTCTGTCTGTCCTCCGTCCGTCGGGGGTGAGTGTGCTCTTAGCACGGACGTCCTTGAGGACAGGCAGGAGGAGTTCCAGTGTCTTGCTGCTGCTTTACCTCATCTTGTGTCCTCGCTACTTGCCCCTGAGGGAGACCCGGATGCACCAGACATC